TCAAATCAGACCCGACTCATAGCGACCCATATAGCTAAAGTATTTTTTAATTAATAATATCTTTTTTCCATTTTATGTAGCCATGTTATCTGTAGTGTTATCATATTATTATTAACCCATAGAGAGTTGCAATTTCTTTCTTCAAGTTTTCAGGCAGAGAATTTACAAATTTTTCCAGAAAGACTAAGCCTGGAATGGCTATTTAAGTCAGTCAACAGAGTCAGAATTCAACTTACATAAAATTTATTTTAGGAGAGACATATTTTTAGGTTAAGATTATAAAAGCTACATCCATTTACATTTTAACATCTCAGAACATCCATATAACACCTCATCTAGCATCTCAGAATATGCACATTTTATATTGTAATGTCTCAGAGATTGGTGTATCTTACAGTTTAATTGAGAGCCCTTATCCTTTCCTAGAAGAATATAAAAAAATACAATTTTTTTTAATCAATGGCATTTTAAATTCAATGATTATGAGGTGTTTTGTAAGATTATCTCTGAATTTATTCAATTAGCTGTTGGCGTTTTCTGTCACAATTTATTGTGAATAATTATTTCTGTTTTGGCTTTTCACCTTTTAAAGGGAGCAGTGATTCTTACACAGTGCAGGTATGTTATACAAGGTGACCTTTTTTAATTTTACAAACTATAAACTATACATCTCATGAAATTAACTTTAAGTCAAGTAAGTATTTCATTCATTAACTATGTGTAATATTCAATAAAAAGCACATTTATAATAGTGAAATTCTTATATAAGTTAATTTAGGGAAGGAGAGTAAAGAAAAACATGGCCAAACCACTAAACTAGTGAAATGCTTCTTTGTTTCCATTCACATTAAACATGTTTATATATAAATACACTCTCTTAGTTGATAGAATATACATCTGTATATTAATACATTCTATTTCATTATCTCAATCTGAAACATAAATAAAATTTTTGTGGTAAATAAATCAAGGGCTCAACAGTGTTCAAGTGTCTATATACTTCTTGATTTTATATCTATTTGCACTATCAATTATGGAGTTCTGGTGGCAAATTGGATGAAGCATTTGGCTGCTAACTGTATGGTTAGTGGTTCAAACCCACCAGCTGCTCCATGGGAAAAAGATGAGAGAGTCTGCTTCTGTAAAGATTTACTGCCTCAGAAACTCAATGGGGGTCACTATAAGTCCCAATCGACTTGATGGCAGTGGTTTGATTTTGATTTTGGCTTGTTTATCAATTACTGAGAGCTCTGGTGGCCTAGTGCCTAAGGTATTTGACTGCTAACCAGAAGGATAGCGGTTCAAACCCACCAGCCACTCCTCAGAAGGAAGGTTGGGCAATCTACTTCAGTAGTGATACTGTCTTGAAAACCCAAGGAGGTGTCACTAAGAGTCAGATCCCAGTCGAGAGCAGTGCGTTGTTGTTTGTGGTTATCAATTACTGAGAGATGGACATACAAATCTTTTTATCTATTTATTTGGGTTTTTTTAATTGTGATTTGGGTGAAAGTTTACAGAGCAAATTCATTTTCCATACAACAGTACACATACACTTTGTCTCATGACTTGACTGCAATTTCCCACTTCCTCCCCATAGGTACCTTGTGTCCTTCCCTCCCATGCATTCCTGGCCCCCGAGCTATCACCCTGTTCAACACTGGCCTTCTGTTCTCCCATGATTGATCTCTCCAGGTAGTGTATCTACCTGATGTAAATGTTCACCCCATAAACCTGTTTATTGTTTGTCTGGAAGCCACAGGAGTGAGTTCAGTTCCAGACCTGAAAGGTGACTAGGGGCCATAGTCTTAGGGGTCTCACCAGGCTCTGTCAAGCCAGCAAGTTTGGTCTTTTTTAATATAATTTTGAGTTTGTTCCACATTGTTCTCTCACACTATCCATGATCTCTTGTGCTGTTCCCCCTCAGAGTGGTTGGTAGTGGTAGCTGGGCACCATGTAGTCCTGGTCTCATGGTCACTGTGGTAGTTAAGGTTGTGTGGCAACTTGACTGGGCCTGGTTGAGTGGGTGGGCAGCTCGGGGTAGTTATTTCCCATGATGAAACTGGCAATCAGCTCCATGGTGGGATCTACCACAAGCAGCTGAGTAGCTGTTTAGGGATGTGGTCTGCTTCCC